CCCCCCTCCCCCACGATGAAATGGTTCGTGGGTAGGATGGTCCATGACAGAGTGACGTTGGAGGACAAGGCTTGCTGATGAAAAATGTAAACTTTTTATTTCAAAGTTTTTTGCGATTTCTGGGTGGGTGGGTTTTTTCCAAACAGCAGCTCTACTGGAGATTGCTCGACCCGGAGCTGCTGAACCCTAAACCCTAAACCCTAAACCCTAAACCCTAAACCCTAAATTTTAAGGGCTTCGCCCGTGTGCGCCAGCACATTTTGAGTTTGGCTTCCAAAGCGAAACTTGACAAGAAGACTGGTTTCGGACTACCCCTAGATTTTTCGGATTTTTGGCCGGTGACAAAGGAGGTTTAAGTAAATTGAGCAGACGCGTGCAAGCGAGGTTTAAGTAAATTGAAGAAAATGGACACGAAGCCAATTTGTGCCTTCTGCGGCCAAGAATATGGGCCTTCTGAAGCCAATTCGGGCCTTCTGAATGAAGCCAATTGTGGCCAATTTCAGCCTTAAAAGCCAGTTTGTGCCGTCTGAAACCAACCTGGGCCTTCAAAGGACTTTTGAAGCCAATTTGGGTCAAGTTGAATTTTCTGAAGCCAATTTGGAACTCGCACCAATTTGGGCCTTTTGAAGCCAATTCGGGCCTTCTTAGGCCTTCTGAAGCCCAATTTAAGCCTTCTGAAGCCAATTTGGGCCTCTGAAATCAATTTGGGCTTTCTAAAGCCAATCTAGGCCTTCTGAAGCCAAATTAAACCTTCTGAAGCCAATTTATGGCTTTCTGGAGCCAATTTGGGCCTTCTGAATGTAGGCTTTCTGAAGCCAATTTTAGCCTTTTGAAGTTAACCCAACTTCGAGCTTTTTATTTTCACATTCGAGCAGGCTAACAAAAACACAAACTAGCTAACAAAAAAGCATCTTGCAATTCGGGGCGTGGCCCATAAGAAAAAAATTGTAAAATGGATGAATTTTACCTGGGCGCCGGCTACGCTGGCGGATCCTAAACTCAGGGCCTAGGCCGCCTCCCTACGTTGGGGGGCGGCGCTCAAGCCCTTCGACACCCAGGTCGCTCGCCTGCGGTAGCGCCCACGATGGGGAACACGTTCATTCTTGTTGGGACCAATACTGGTCCCCTATAAATAAAAAGGTGAGGTGAGGTGAGGTGGTGAGGTGAGGTGAGCATCGACCGAAGCACGAGCCTGGCCTAACAAAAAGGTAGCCCCTCCGGCGCAAGGCCTAAAGAGCAAACCCCAGCAACACAACGCGCAGGAACAGCAACGGGGAACAACAACACGAAACGCACCAGACGGACGAACGAGCGAACGAACGGAAACAGTCGTTTGCCGACTTTTCCCAGCCCCTTTCCCTGGCACAGCAGCAGCGACGGTAAACGGGGGCGCACCGCGCGACCGGTCTTCATTCCCAGACCCGCGAGATGTCACGTGTCGAGAGCGGCTGCGGGCACGTCGGCTCCCAGATCGGCCGCGCACACCGGAACCGCGAGCACCGCTCGCCCGGTGTGCCCTGCGCCGCTGCCTCTGCCGGCTTTTTGAGGTGGATGAGCTCCTGCGCCCGCGACCACCACGGCGTCCGGAGTGGACCCCACTCCCGCCATTTCGGTGGATTACAAGCTCTCTTGTCGAACCCAGCGCTTGCTCCGCCATGGCAAGCCCGAGGCTTAGGGCCCTCGCACACATTTGGTGATCCATGGCTAAGGAAGGACGATGCCGGGAAAGGTCAAAACTGCACGACGATCGAATTTTGGCTCTGGGGCTTGGGGTGACGGTCGGGGGCTAGGAACTGCATTCTCTAGATGTTCCACCGCAGCCAACAGGGGTCCTGTTTCTTTCTCTCAAGCAATCCGACTCTCTCCCATCTACTTGCAATGTTGAATATTGCCAGCTCTATTGCCAGCCTGAGCCTTCCCTCAATCTTAGCCCGCCTAGGCACGGACTACTTAATGCCAACCTCGCAGACTTCAAGCTAAAGGGAGGTGAGCTCCTCACATGAGCGGCAGGACTTGGAGATTCTAGTTGCCCTTTTCCACCCAAGATCCAGAGGTGACAGGATGGAAGCGCCTGCGCAAACCAAAAAAACAAGAAAAACAAAGAGACCAATCATTGCGCATATATAGCTCAATATCCATGTATCGCTGGAGCCGCGGGACGAAGACGCGGCACTGCCCATCCACTTCCCCGCTCCTCTACGTAGGGTCCTCCCAAACGCAGCATCCAGCAGGGAAGCCAGCGCTCCAGTATCCGGCACTATCGCCCTACTGCCCCCCCAATGGACCACCAACTGGGTGCTCGTCGGACTGAAAACAGACAGAGGGGCAAAGAAAAGAGAAAGAAAAGGAAAGGAACAAAAACAAGACAAAACAAACCAAAACGCACACCAAGACGCACACACCAGCCCTTAGTGCCGCCCCTGGGGTCCCAGAGGGTGAACCGGCCAAAGGGGGAGACCGGCAGCAGACCCAGGGGCCTATAAATAAAGTAATACCCCCCTTGGGCGCTGGCCTTTTTGGCGGGGTACCCCCCGCCGGGCTCCCAGGCCACGAGGACCCGGACCCCCCCACCCCCAGAAACCACCTCAGCCCCTCCGCCCCTTGGGCGCTGCCTGGGACCCCCCTAAAACCCATCTGGGACCATGCTGAAACCTTCCCATTGCCCTGACCTTCAGATTTTCTGGGACCCCCTCCTGAGACCCCCTCCCACCCCTGGAACCTGTCTAGGACCTTCCTTGAAACTCGCCTGGGATTGGCAGTAGGCAAGGTGGCTTTGCCGCCTTAGACAGCGTGGGGTGGGAGAAAGGTGTTAGATGGCCCTCCACAATCGGGCCAGAGCTGCTCTTCGCACCTGACGAGGCTTTCGAGCCTTTGCTGCATCCAACCTTCACAGCATCTATGCCATATTACAGCAAACCCTAAACCCTAAACCCTAAACCCTAAACCCTAAACCCTCTACCCAGTGGGGGACCGACCTCTGGTCCCAAGATTTCTTTCGACGATAAACGATCTCCAAATAGACATCTCAGCTGGAGATCAATGGGGTCGAATGTAGTTGGCAACAACCCACTCTTCAAACTTTCTCAAGTGGCGCTCACCACGACTGTTGGGCTGACCAAGCAACCTTCTTTCTTTGAGACGTAGAATCATCGAATCATCGTCAAAACCGATCTACTTCTTTACATATCGGATCTTTTTGCATCGCCGACTCTTCTTAAGAATTTCAGAAAGCCAGCGACCCTAATGCAGAACCCCAAATAGTAGGATCCTTGCTTTAGGGACCACTATGTAAAGCACCACGCTCCCATATTGAAAGCCCGGTGGGATGCCAGATGGCGCCTAGAGACGGGCTTGCGAGCCCAGCACATCCGGGAGCTCCCTTGTTAAGAGCCTGTTCTTGAGATCCAAGACAAAGTCCAGATTCAGGGCATCGGCAGTGGTGGCCCACAGCATCTTCTCATCCCATCGCCGTCGGCGACGAGTCGGCAAGTTCGCTGACTTCTTTTTCGAGGTAATGATAGCCTTTGCGCTCCAGCCAGGCCACTTCCGCTTTCTGTGAGTTTCCTAAGCCCTCCGAGTGGTCTAGAAATTGGCGTTCCTCCTCCGGTAGCCACGCCAGAAAGAGCCGATGCTCCTCTCGCGAAAAGGGTGATGAGCCATCTGGACCTCTCTCCTTGGAGAGGTGGTCGAGGCCATCACTCAGTGCTCTGAGGAAACCCTCTGACTTCCCAAAGTCTGCCTTCCGCCGGAAGATCTGCTCCCTTCGTAGGTGCTCGGCGCCAGCTGCTGTGAAGTCTGCGACTTTCCCTTGGCCTTTCTTCCCATCGAAGAAGTAGACCTCGAGGGTGGCCCCCAGCTGGACCGCCTTCTCTATGTTGGCGATCCAACGAGACCACCATCGGCAACCCCAGGGCTTGGGTTCGCCATAGAGGGGCACGCACCAGCATCCGCCACTTAAGTCGCAGAGGTCCATGGTGCTGGGAATGGGGTCGTGCAGCCCAAAGTGCTCGGAACCCTCTGGCAAGAACACCACGGCTGCGCTGATGTCATCATTGCGAGCTCCAGCAACCAGCGAATCCCAGGCGGATTCGTACTTCCCTGGCCAGGAGGACACGGTGTGACGGCCCGGGAGGACGTTGCCTTCGAAGACGATGGTCCTCTGGTTGGTCTGCAACACCGCTTGGTTCAAGTCCTCCTTCGCAGGCTGGATCATGGCAGAGATTGCCTTGGCAGAGTCAAAGCCGCTGCGGCACTTCGCAAGACCATTCCTGGGCTCTTCTCGAACAGTCTTACTTTAGGTTACCATAATAAGAGAAAACCATCATGATATTTACTATGGATCCCTATTATGGTAACCTTAACAGGAGCCCAGATTCAGCATCATCAGTGGCCATCGGAAGAAAACCACAGAAGATTTCAGGACCCTACAGGTCAACTCTTCCCCCCCAAAGGGAAACACGCACATGGAGCAGAGCACGAAGCAGACAAGAACCATGGCCGGAGACCAGATGATGAGCATGGCCAGCGTATGGCCATCCTCTGAGAGCCGGGAGGAGATTAGATACGCACAGAAGAAGCCCACGAAGGGAGGCGCGCCGTAGAAGATGCCAAAAATCCAAACTCGAGAGTCCTGATTCTCAGAATCATTCTCAAAGTCTACTTGGACGGCGATGCCGGCGCCCTGCTCCTCGTAGCTGTGCAGCTCGGGGTGTGCTGCTCGCACCGCGGCCTGCTAAGGGTTTCGGGTTTAGGCTGAGGGTTCCTTGTAAAGGTTCCTTTAAGGGCTCTACGAGGGTTCTGTAAGGATATTTCAAGCTTTTGTTTGTCTTTCTAGGGTTTGAGCTTCCGCCTGCAGCTGCGAGGCAGTGGCGTCGTCCGCCGCGGCCCGGAGAACGCTCACACAGCCCATGGCCAGGCACCACACAACCACGACCGCAGCGGCGAAACCCGAGGCCTCTGGGCCCTGGGGGCCGTCGAACATCAGCAGCTGCACGTCGCGGTGGACTGCCGCAGTGCCGAATATGATAAGACCCAACAACACTGAGATTATGAGGGATGTGCAGATGAACATCTTTCTTTGGTTCCTGATCGCTGCGCGCTTTACTTCCTCATACAGCTGCTGGCTGATCTCCTGCTTTCGTGCGCGCCTCAAAGCGGATTCCTTTCTGGCTGCTGCCTCTTCCCTTCGGATCAGTTTCGCAGCTTTCTGAGAGAAGTCGCCGAAGTCCTGGGACAACAGCAGGCTCCGACTGGCAGTGACAGCGCAGCTCCCACGAAGTCCAGGAGCGTCACGGAGACGCACTGAGACCTTCGTGTCCGGGGACGAAAGCGCGAAGCTGCATCTGGAGCTCGGGTAGAGAACCTCAGCTGCCCAGTTCATAGGGCTCACAGAATCTAAGCTTACAGCATCTAAGAGGATAACAAGCAACCCTACGCCCTGGACCTCAAGTTTGAGAAAACCCTACACCCTACGCCCTGAACCCAAATCCCAAAAAACTAAACCCCCAAACCCTAAACCCCCAAACCCCAAACCCTAAACCCCAAATCCTAAACCCTAGACCCTAAACCCTAAACCCTAAACCCCGAACCTCTAAAGCCCGAAAGTGTAAGGAGCTTGGGAGTCGGCGGAGCCCGGATTCACCTCCACAGCCGCTTTCAGGTCGTTGTACACCTGGTTCAGGGCTTAAATTAGGGCGGATTTAGGGTTTAGGGTTTGGGGTTTAGGGTTTAGAGTTTAGGGTTTAGGGAAAGTTTAGGTTTAGGGTCCAGGGCTTAATTTAGAGCGATTTTCGGGCTGAGTTGCTCACTCTCGCACAAGGCAGGCAAGGTTCGTTGGCTTGGGGTTTAGGGATTCTGCGGATTCCTGTTGGTGATCCTTCTAGGTTTCCTTGAAACCCCAAACCCTGAACATGTTACCCACCTCTATTGTCTCCTCTTGCTCGCTTTTCTGGTCTTCCCTGGCTGGCATGCCGGGGACGCTCCATGGCTCACGAGGTTGAGGCATTCCTTGACGGGTTTCTTCTGGGCTTCTATTGGGGCTTCAGCGGTTCGGGATTGAAGTGCATAGAGTCAACACACGGCAAATCGATGCTTTCGGGCCAATCGTCTTCTAGTTCTTTGGGGGGGGTTCTTAAGCACATAGTAGACCGGCAACCAGGCAGTGAAACACCGAAGCAACTAAACTTGACTTAAGGTTTCAGGCCTTCGGGGTTCTGGGCTTCTAGGGTTCTAGGGCGTTTTTCTTGCCGCTCGACTAGCTAAACTGTACGTCCATATGGCAGGGTTTGGCCGTTAAGTCCTCACATTTCTCTGTGGACACTGAAGAATCATGAGTGTGGCCAAGTCCTGTTTTGACATAGCACCCTCTTCTCATGTCAACTCAGAGCCTTCCAGAGATCAGACACCGCGATGCTAACAAACCCGAACAAGGTTTAAGGTTTAGGGTGTAGGCGTTCGAGCTGCGGGCTTAGATGCTAGGGTTTAGAGCTTATAAGGGCTTAGAGCTTTCTGCGTTGGGGTTTAGGGTTTGCGGCTGTAGGGGTTTTAAAGTTCAGGGCCTAGGGTTTTAAGGGTTTCGGGTTTGCGGGGTTAGGGTGTCGGGTCTAAAGTTTAGGGTTTGGGGTACATTAGCGCACACAAGCGAAGCCACATGACTGGGGGTTAGGGTTTGGGGTTTATGAGTGGAGTATCTTGGGTTGGTGGCATGTCGATGCGTTGCAAGGGCACTCATACTCATCTTCTTGAGGCTGTAGGCTGCTGCCCCGGGAGCCGATAGCCACAGCTCGGTGAACTTCGGCATCAACTCCCGATGCCTACAGCACCCTTCTACCGATCCCGAAACCCGAACAGACATCCCAGACCCCAAGCCCTGTCGGTGTCTGTCTGCCTGCCTCTGTATGCCTTTGTCTGTCTCTGTCTGTCTCTGCCGGTGTCTGTCCGTCTGTCTGTCTGGCTGTCTGTTTGTGTCTGTCGGTGTCTGTCTGTCTGTTTGTTTGTCCGTCTGTCTGTGGCTCCACGTTCCATCGTATTGTTTGATCTACATCCAAGATAAAGAACCCAACCATCCAGCCGAAACCATCAATTCAAAGAGAAATAAGAACACAATACAAATACAAACCATCCAAATATCCAACCGAAATGAAACCGACAGACAAATTTGATGAAAGAGTAACAGAAAAAGGAAACTCTAATCGATTATTTAGAGAAAGATAGATCTTTGGAGCAAAGTAAATATTGAACTGTTTTCTTCTTCAGAGAATTTTTTGAACTCATTCAAGAGTTATAGCAAGTATCTGAACATAGGCCAAGAAGATATCATTCTAACTAAATAATAGGAATGAAGTTGGAAATACATTTCATTTTGCCTGAACAGAATCGGAAAACCTGCGTCCAGATTTTAAAGTAAAGTTACATACATTTTATTTCCGAACAGGTATCATAGAATTCCTACGATTGGGCAGCAAGCGTCAATTGAGTGGAGGCTACGAGAAGAATCATCTGAGGACATTGTATTCGGGGGATTGAGGAAGATTGATGTATAGGAGAAAGCCATTTCCTTATTTGTTTTATGAATGTGTCTGCCCAAGTTTTGTCAAAACCAAACGCCATTGATACGATCCCAAAGAGCGATTCATCTGAGAGATCGTGAAAAGCAACTAAACCATCCTCTCTGGGCAAGCGAGTTTGCATGAGTTGCACGGCTGCAGCAGTTGATTGCAAAGCCTTCTTTTCGAAACGATGTGCCACTCTGCATTTTAGCGAGCGCCCGTCTGGCACTGCGATGACTAGACACCAATCACAACTGGCGACGACAGATTCTTCAGAGCCTTCACGACCTCGGCTTGTCATCATCAAGACAAAGGTGCAACGACTACAGTAAACGGCCACTTGAAGCATCAGCGTGCTTGCAAATACTGTCTCGCAATATCGCTTTGTGATCTTCGTGCCGGTACGCCGGTACACCGCACCCCTGCCCCCTACCCCCTTCCACCCCCCGCCCGAAGTCCTAGGCATTTTACAACACACCCCTTCGATCTATCCAATATTTTTGCTTCTGTCCCTGAATCCCTGGATGCACTGGGGCTCCTTCACCCTAAAGCTTGCGCCGATACCCTAAACCCTAAACCGTAGCGGCGCGACGATGCGCCGATACGCCGGGTGCTACGATCGCCGATACGCCGGCCGAGGTCAGGGCGCAGACTTATCGGTGGATCGGAGTATCGGTGCGAGACCGTTTAAGCGAGGCTGGTTGTTGTCATCTTGAAAGATTTGGAGTCAAGTGGCAGAGAAGGGCACCACTCGTGAGGTTCTTTGGCTGAGGGGCTTTCCTCTGACCTTCAGCTCTGAAAAATTGAGAGAGGAGAAAAAAAAACTCGCAACAAGGCTCTGGGAAAGCGGTTCAACAAGTGGCCCCCTTCAATGTACTAGTCGTCCAGTATCCTAGGGAACTAAAGGTTAACCTTGAGAGATGATATGGGGATTACAACACCCAAAAAAGTTAAGAGTCTGCATGCTGGCAAGAATGCTTGATACCATGCCATGTCAGCTCTGGACGCGTGCATCCCGAAAATTCCACAGCATGGCCTCGAGGCTGATCTCACCACAGCCACCACGCAGCGTCACCCGACTCATGGGGCCAGGCCTTCTTCAAAAAGCGATCAGCCAACAGCTGCAGCATGGAACAAGACACTCTGCTGCGTGGGCTTCCGGCACTGCAGGATCTGCGACTAATCGCACGTTCAGCCTGTTGCAGAAACAAGACAAAACAAACCAAACGCACACCAAGACGCACACACCAGCCCTTAGTGCCCCCCTGGGGTCCCAGAGGGTGAACCGGCCAAAGGGGGAGACCAGCAGCAGACCCAGGGGCCTATAAATAAAGTAATACCCTAAACCCCCCCTTGTTTGGGCGCTGGCCTTTTTGGCGGGGTACCTCCCAGGCCACGAGGACCCGGACCCCCCCACCCCCAGAAACCACCTCAGCCTCTCCGCCCCTTGGGCGCTGCCTGGGACCCCCCTAAAACCCCTGACCTTCAGATCCCCTGGGACCTCCCACCCCTGGAACCTGTCTAGGACCTTCCTGCAACCCCCCTGAAACTCGCCTGGGATTGGCAGTAGGCAATTGACCTGAGTTTAGGCCTAAACCCTAAAAGGAGTAGGTTAGGGTGGCTTTGCCGCCTTAGACAGCGTGGGGTGGGAGAAAGGTGTTAGATGGCCCTCCACAATCGGGCCAGAGCTGCTCTTCGCACCTGACGAGGCTTTCGAGCCTTTGCTGCATCCAACCTTCACAGCATCTACGCCATATTACAGCAAACCCTAAACCCTAAACCCTAAACCCTAAACCTTAAACCCTAAACCCAGTGGGGGACCGGCCTCTGGTCCCAAGATTTCTTTCGACGATAAACGATCCCCAAGTAGACATCTCCCCTAAACCCTAAGCCCTAAACCCTAAACCCTAAACCCTAAACCCTAAATCTCAGCTGGAGATCAATGGGGTCGAATGTAGTTGGCAACAACCCACTCTTCAAACTTTCTCAAGTGGCGCTCACCACGACTGTCGGGCTGACCAAGCAACCTTCTTTCTTTGAGACGTGGAATCATCGAATCATCGTCAAAACCGATTTGCTTCTTTACATATCGGATCTTTTTGCATCGCCGACTCTTCTTAAGAATTTCAGAAAGCCAGCGACCCTAATGTAGAACCCCAAATAGTAGGATCCTTGCTTTAGGGACCACTATGTAAAGCACCACGCTCCCATATTGAAAGCCTGGTGGGATGCCAGATGGCGCCTAGAGACGGGCTTGCGAGCCCAGCACATCCGGGAGCTCCCTTGTTAAGAGCCTGTTCTTGAGATCCAAGACAAAGTCCAGATTCAGGGCATCGGCAGTGGTGGCCCACAGCATCTTCTCATCCCATCGCCTTCGGCGACGAGTCGGCAAGTTCGCTGACTTCTTTTTCGAGGTAATGATAGCCTTTGCGCTCCAGCCAGGCCACTTCCGCTTTCTGTGAGTTTCCTAAGCCCTCCGAGTGGTCTAGAAATTGGCGTTCCTCCTCCGGCAGCCACGCCAGAAAGAGCCGATGCTCCTCTCGCGAAAAGGGTGATGAGCCATCTGGACCTCTCTCCTTGGAGAGGTGGTTCAGGCCATCACTCAGTGCTCTGAGGAAACCCTCTGACTTCCCAAAGTCTGCCTTCCGCCGGAAGATCTGCTCCCTTCGTAGGTGCTCGGCGCCAGCTGCTGTGAAGTCTGCGACTTTCCCTTGGCCTTTCTTCCCATCGAAGAAGTAGACCTCGAGGGTGGCCCCCAGCTGGACCGCCTTCTCTATGTTGGCGATCCAACGAGACCACCATCGGCAACCCCAGGGCTTGGGTTCGCCGTAGAGGGGCACGCACCAGCATCCGCCACTTAAGTCGCAGAGGTCCATGGTGCTGGGAATGGGGTCGTGCAGCCCAAAGTGCTCGGAACCCTCTGGCAAGAACACCACGGCTGCGCTGATGTCATCATTGCGAGCTCCAGCAACCAGCGAATCCCAGGCGGATTCGTACTTCCCTGGCCAGGAGGACACGGTGTGACGGCCCGGGAGGACGTTGCCTTCGAAGACGATGGTCCTCTGGTTGGTCTGCAACACCGCTTGGTTCAAGTCCTCCTTCGCAGGCTGGATCATGGCAGAGATTGCCTTGGCAGAGTCAAAGCCGCTGCGGCACTTCGCAAGACCATTCCTGGGCTCTTCTCGAACAGTCTTACTTTAGGTTACCATAATAAGAAAACCATCATGTTATTTACTATGGATCCCTATTATGGTAACCTTAACAGGAGCCCAGATTCAGCATCATCAGTGGCCATCGGAAGAAAACCACAGAAGATTTCAGGACCCTACAGGTCAACTCTTCCCCCCCAAAGGGAAACACGCACATGGAGCAGAGCACGAAGCAGACAAGAACCATGGCCGGAGACCAGATGATGAGCATGGCCAGCGTATGGCCATCCTCTGAGAGCCGGGAGGAGATTAGATACGCACAGAAGAAGCCCACGAAGGGAGGCGCGCCGTAGAAGATGCCAAAAATCCAAACTCGAGAGTCCTGATTCTCAGAATCATTCTCAGAGTTTTCTTGGACGGCGATGCCGGCGCCCTGCTCCTCGTAGCTGTGCAGCTCGGGGTGTGCTGCTCGCACCGCGGCCTGCTAAGGGCTTCGGGTTTAGGCTGAGGGTTCCTTGTAAAGGTTCCTTTAAGGGCTCTACGAGGGTTCTGTAAGGATATTTCAAGCTTTTGTTTGTCTTTCTAGGGTTTGAGCTGCCGCCTGCAGCTGCGAGGCAGTGGCGTCGTCCGCCGCGGCCCGGAGAACGCTCACACAGCCCATGGCCAGGCACCACACAACCACGACCGCAGCGGCGAAACCCGTGGCCTCTGGGCCCTGGGGGCCGTCGAACATCAGCAGCTGCACGTCGCGGTGGACTGCCGCAGTGCCGAATATGATAAGACCCAACAACACTGAGATTATGAGGGATGTGCAGATGAACATCTTTCTTTGGTTCCTGATCGCTGCGCGCTTTACTTCCTCATACAGCTGCTGGCTGATCTCCTGCTTTCGTGCGCGCCTCAAGCCGGATTCCTTTCTGGCTGCTGCCTCTTCCCTTCGGATCAGTTTCGCAGCTTTCTGAGAGAAGTCGCCGAAGTCCTGGGACAACAGCAAGCTCCGACTGGCAGTGACAGCGCAGCTCCCACGAAGTCCAGGAGCGTCACGGAGACGCACTGAGACCTTCGTGTCCGGGGACGAAAGCGCGAAGCTGCAGCTGGAGCTCGGGTAGAGAACCTCAGCTGCCCAGTTCATAGGGCCCACAGAATCTAAGCTTACAGCATCTAAGAGGATAACAAGCAACCCTACGCCCTGGACCTTAATCCTAAAAGGCTTCAAGTTTGAGAAAACCCTACACCCTACGCCCTGAACCCAACTCCCAAAAAACTAAACCCCCAAACCCCAAACCCCAAACCCTAAACCCCAAACCCTAAACCCTAAACCCCAAACCCTAAACCCTAAACCCTAAACCCCGAACCTCTAAAGCCCGAAAGTGTAAGGAGCTTGCGAGTCGGCGGAGCCCGGATTCACCTCCGCAGCCGCTTTCAGGTCGTTGTACACCTGGTTCAGGGCTTAAATTAGGGCGGATTTAGGGTTTAGGGTTTAGGGTTTAGGGTTTAGGGTTTAGGGTTTAGGGAAAGTTTAGGTTTAGGGTCCAGGGCTTAATTTAGAGCGATTTTCGGGCTGAGTTGCTCACTCTCGCACAAGGCAGGCAAGGTTCGTTGGCTTAGGGTTTAGGGATTCTGCGGATTCCTGTTGGTGATCCTTCTAGGTTTCCTTGAAACCCCAAACCCTGAACATGTTACCCACCTCTATTGTCTCCTCTTGCTCGCTTTTCTGGTCTTCCCTGGCTGGCATGCCGGGGACGCTCCATGGCTCACGAGGTTGAGGCATTCCTTGACGGGTTTCTTCTGGGCTTCTATTGGGGCTTCAGCGGTTCGGGATTGAAGTGCATAGAGTCAACACACGGCAAATCGATGCTTTCGGGCCAATCGTCTTCTAGTTCTTTGGGGGGGGTTCTTAAGCACATAGTAGACCGGCAACCAGGCAGTGAAACACCGAAGCAACTAAACTTGACTTAAGGTTTCAGGCCTTCGGGGTTCTGGGCTTCTAGGGTTCTAGGGCGTTTTTCTTGCCGCTCGACTAGCTAAACTGTACGTCCATATGGCAGGGTTTGGCCGTTAAGTCCTCACATTTCTCTGTGGACACTGAAGAATCATGAGTGTGGCCAAGTCCTGTTTTGACATAGCACCCTCTTCTCATGTCAACTCAGAGCCTTCCAGAGATCAGACACCGCGATGCTAACAAACCCGAACAAGGTTTAAGGTTTAGGGTGTAGGCGTTCGAGCTGCGGGCTTAGATGCCAAGGTTTAGAGCTTATAAGGGCTTAGAGCTTTCTGCGTTGGGGTTTAGGGTTTGCGGCTGTATGGGTTTTAAAGTTCAGGGCCTAGGGTTTTAAGGGTTTCGGGTTTGCGGGGTTAGGGTGTCGGGTCTAAGGTTTAGGGTTTGGGGTACATTAGCGCACACAAGCGAAGCCACATGACTGGGGGTTAGGGTTTGGGGTTTATGAGTGGAGTATCTTGGGTTGGTGGCATGTCGAGGCGTTGCAAGGGCACTCATACTCATCTTCTTGAGGCTGTAGGCGCCGGGCTTGGAGGTTCTGGGTGGACGGAGTGTGTTTTCCAGGTATCGGATGCTGCCCCGGGAGCCGATAGCCACAGCTCGGTGAACTTCGGCATCAACTCCCGATGCCTACAGCACCCTTCTACCGATCCCGAAACCCGAACAAACATCCCAGACCCCAAGCCCTGTCGGTGTCTGTCTGTCTGCCTGCCTCTGTATGCCTTTGTCTGTCTCTGTCTGTCTCTGCCGGTGTCTGTCCGTCTGGCTGTCTGGCTGTCTGTTTGTGTCTGTCGGTGTCTGTCTGTCTGTTTGTTTGTCCGTCTGTCTGTGGCTCCACGTTCCATCGTATTGTTTGATCTACATCCAAGATAAAGAACCCAACCATCCAGCCGAAACCATGAATTCAAAGAGAAATAAGAACACAATACAAATACAAACCATCCAAATATCCAACCGAAATGAAACCGACGAAAGACAAATTGGATCAAAGAGTAACAGAAAAAGGAAACTCTAATCTAGACGAGAAAGATAGATCTTTGGAGCAAAGTAATATTGAATTGTTTTCTTCTTCAGAGAAATTTTTTGAACTCATTCAAAAGTTATAGCAAGTATCTGAACATAGGCCAAGAAGATATCATTCTAACTAAATAATAGGAATGAAGTTGGAAATGCATTTCATTTTGCCCGAACAGAATCGGAAAATCTGCGTCCAGATTTTAAAGTAAAGCTACATACATTTTATTTCCGAACAGGTATCAAGAATTCCAACGATTGAGCTGCAAGCGTCAATTGAGTGGAGGCTACGAGAAGAATCAGCTGAGGACATTATATTCGGGGGATTGAGGAAGATTGATGTATAGGAGAAACCATTTCCTTATTTGTTTTATGAATGTGTCTGCCCAAGTTTTGTCAAAACCCTACGCCATTGATACGATCCCAAAGAGCGATTCATCTGAGACATCGTGAAAAGCAACTAAACCATCCTCTCTGGGCAAGCGAGTTTGCATGAGTTGCACGGCTGCAGCAGTTGATTGCAAAGCCTTCTTTTCGAAACAATGTGCCACTCTGCATTTTAGCGAGCGCGCGATGACTAGACACCAATCACAACTGGCGACGACAGATTCTTCAGAGCTTTCACGACCTCGGCTTGTCATCATCAAGACAAAGGTGCAACGACTACAGTAAACGGCCACTTGAAGCATCAGCGTGCTTGCAAATACTGTCTCGCAATATCGCTTTGCGATCTTCGTGCCGGTACGCCGGTACACCGCACCCCTGCCCCCTACCCCCTTCCACCCCCCGCCCGAAATCCTAGGCATTTTACAACACACCCCTTCGATCTATGCAACATTTTTGCTTCTGTCCCTGAATCCCTGGATGCACTGGGGCTCCTTCACCCTAAAGCTTGCGCCGATACCCTAAACCCTAAACCGTAGCGGCGCGCCGATGCGCCGATACGCCGGGTGCTACGATCGCCGATATGCCGGCCGAGGTCAGGGCGCAGACTTATCGGTGGATCGGAGTATCGGTGCGAGACCGTTTAAGCGAAGCTGGTTGTTGTCATCTTGAAAGATTTGGAGCCAAGTGGCAGAGAAGGGCACCACTCGTGAGGTTCTTTGGCTGAGGGGCTTTCCTCTGACCTTCAGCTCTGAAAAATTGAGAGAGGAGAAAAAAAAACTCGCAACAAGGCTCTGGAAAGGCGGTTCAACAAGTGGCCCCCTTCAATGTACTAGTCGTCCAGTATCCTAGGGAACTAAAGGTTAACCTTGGGAGATGATATGGGGATTACAACACCCAAAAAAGTTAAGAGTTACCTACTCTACTACTAAGCCTACATGCTGGCAAGAATGCTTGATACCATGCCATGTCAGCTCTGGACGCGTGCATCCCGAAAATTCCACAGCATGGCCTCGAGGCTGATCTCACCACAGCCACCACGCAGCGTCACCCGACTCATGGGGCCGGGCCTTCTTCAAAAAGCGATCAGCCAACAGCTGCAGCATGGAACAAGACACTCTGCTGCGTGGGCTTCCGGCACTGCAGGATCTGCGACTAATCGCACGTTCAGCCTGTTGCAGGTATGGGCTTGAGATCACGATGCTGGCAAGCGAACAACAGACACAGAACTGGCTGACTGAACAGTCGCAGGCTTCAGCAAGCATCCCTCTACCCTACCAGGCCTGTCCAAGCCGACTGTCGCAAGCGCCAGTGCCGCAGCGATGTTGGCATTCTTTGGGAACTGGCTGGCGGCCTGGTTCATGCTGCAGGTGGTGGACCACGCAACTGTGGGATACCGCAGCGTCCTTTGGGGAACGGGCACTCAAGGTCCAGACATACTCTGCGTGATTCTCTGTGGGATTCTTCGCGAGACTATTCGGGCTTCTCTGGGGGGCACTATCCTGTCTGTCGGATCACTCTAGACATATTCCGTGGGATTTTTCAGCAAATATTCCTGCAAGATTTCTTGGGTCGGCCAGGAAGGGCAGGGCCCCTCAGGACACCCCAGGATACTTTTGTGGCAGTGGCGGTACTCTGTGGCATCCTGGGAGTGGGCACTCCAAGGATACTGTGCAGGTCTATTGGGTTTTTGCCAGATTCTCCCAAATAGGAGACCCGGCAAGGCAAAGGACACTTGGACGAGGAGAACAACTGAGTTAAAAATGGACAGGCCCACATCGACAGTGGCAAATCAATGACAGCTGCTGCCATGCATCAAAGCAAACAAGCACTGAGCCCCCGACCTCTCGTGCTGGTCCTGGGAAATGATCAGAGAAGCATTGGGTGTGAAAACCAAGCGGTATTCTCTCTACATGTGCGCACGTGAGTTTTTCCACAACCCAATTAACTATACCACTATCACTAGCAGTGCTGGGAGAGGAGTGTCTGTTTGATGTGCCACTCCATCGCCCTCAGTGCACGGTCCCCCTGCATCCTCCACTCACCACTCTGGTTGTTGTTGAAGGTAAAGATGGTCCAGTCGGTCTCTCTCTCGCCTCTCTTTGTCTTTCTTTTCGTGTACCAAGCGAAGGAAACCCGCAGTTGGCATCTCTTTTTCTTCTCCTTCTTCTTCTCCAGGGCTTGAAAGGGCCCAGAGAGGCCCCGCCGCGGGCTAGGTGCCCGAAGTTGATCAGGTCCAAGTGAAACTCATCAAAGGAGGGTTTGGTTTGACCGTTTTCCCCTTCAACAGACCTACTCGCTTGTAACCCTCGAAGTGACCCTTAACACCAGTGTTCGGTGGACCACACGTGTGCTCCCCCCTACAGGACGAACAGTAAGGGTACCTCTACTCTCTCTTCTTCTCTGTTCTTCCCCCGCGCTCTTTGTCTTCTTCTTCTTCTTCTTCTTCTTCTTCTTCTTCTTCTTCTTCTTCTTCTTCTTCTTCTTCTTCTTCTTCTTCTTCTTCTTCTTCTTCTTCTTCTTCTTCTTCTTCTTCTTCTTCTTCTTCTTCTTCTTCTTCTTCTTCTTCTTCTTCTTCGCGCGGGCGCGCCTTGTCCGGTCTCGCTCGCTCTCTCTCTCTCTCTCACAAATCGCACGCCCAGACAGACAAAGACTCTCATGCTTGGAAAACAGAAATCATCCCTGGCCTTCGAAAACCACACTGGCAGTCTGCAAGTTGTCCAAGTCAACGCGGCTCTCAGCCGGTGTGCCGCGCCAGCCCTTCCAAGTGCTGCAGACCGACTCATCGCTTTTCCTCTTGTAACAAGCCACCGCTTTCTGACTTGAGGGTGTCCGGCCGAAAAATCTTCGGACTGACTTACGGAGACCTTGTGGAAAGGATGAACCAGTGTACATGACGGCATGTTCTTTCTTTGCAGTGCCACAGTTGAAACTATCAGTCTCTTAAGAGTGCATGATGGGCCAATGATGGGCATGGTTTTGCTCTGGCCTCTGGTCGCTTCCGCTGCTCCACGGTCACCTGCAGGACTTCTCCACGTCGTGAGGCCAGTTCCAGTGCCTGCCGGTCATGCTGGTCCTCCTCCACGTCGTCCAGAGCAGCACTGGACATCCAGTCCATGCCTCGCGGCGATTTGTTTTAGTATAGAAAGGGCCCGTGATTGAACATCGGCTCTTGGACGTGTTTAGCTTGCGTCTCCAGTTTCGTTTGAGATCACTCAGCATCCACAGGCACCAGCGGCCCATAGAGACTGGATGCCACTGGACTGTTCCTGCCTGGCATGGCGCCAGCAGGAAGCAGCAGTCGCGATCCAGATCTCGCAGCCACGGCGGTGAAGTCCTGGCCGAGTCTTGATTGCAGGCCTGTAATGCCATCGCCTCAGCTCAGACTAGTTTTTGGCCACTGACAAAATGAAATAAAATGAACTAGATCAGTTTCCACGGTGCAGTCCTCCAGCAGTGCATCCTCCGTGAAGACACCCACGGAGGTCACCAAGAGGTCACGGCCCTTTGGGAGACAAAAGATGTGGAGAGCTTGTTTTTCCTGTGTTGGCCGGGGCTGGGGCCAGGCCTCCGTCTAGCCGCCAGTTTCTTACATCTTCTTACTGAAGACTTCAGATGACAGATGGGTTGAAGGAATGTCTAATATGGGCGGAGATGCAGGCTAGAACTGCAGGACCGTGGGCCTCAGCAAGGATTCGTCTGCCATGGTCCCGCACCTCATCTACACGGAGATTATGGCCCCGCTGAAAGGTCACACTACCTCAACCTGCACCTGCATCTGTCTTCGATGCTGCGTCACACCATGGTTGCTCAAGCACTTCGGCAACATCAACGTTTGTCTGACCTACTTTGACACGATTTTGGCACGGATGCCAACCAGTAGGAGTCATTAGGTTTTAGTTCCATGACCACTCACGCATGAGGGCCTAGCCCACGGCTGGCCAGCTGCCTCCACGCACAACGACCTCCGTGGCCGCGCGTGGCCGCGCAAGGCCGAGCGAAGGACTTGAAGGACTGGGACAATATTGAACAACTAACCATAAACCCTAAACCCTAAACCCGAAACCCCTAACCCCCTAAGCCTAAACCCTGATTCCCATGTGATTCGGCACTGCTGCCATCAAGGTGCCAGTCAGAACCGAGGAAGGCCTCAGGCAGCTTCGAACAAGCCCACCAAACTCAGTTAACCACGCATGTCAAATGCCAAGTCTTCCGGGATACTTCACGATCTGGGTATTGGGATGGGATTCGTAGATGGGGTCCTGGGGGCTACCAAGCTGTTACAGATGCATACCTTTGGCATCCCTTTGTAGATCAGCTGGTCGATTGCCTCCAGGTCCGTTGTGAGAAGCGCCTGACAGAGTTCTTCAGCGACCTTGAGTAAGCCGAGTAAGCCCCGAGGCCTATAACATCCTGTGACGGCCTCGCCGCCGACCTCAGGCGGACGCGGATCACGCGGCCTGCGCAAGACTGTGCAATGAATGCAGGCGCCTGCGATAGATCGCCTCTCTTCTTATGGATATTATGATGATGATTATTATTCTGATTATGATTATTATTGCTAAATACACAGCTGTCCGTCCTCTGCGTTAACACGGCTCCCAGCGCCGCTCCCGGGAGTGACCTCAAGTGCTTCCCGTTGCTTCCCAACCAACCTTCTCTCTCAGAGGCTTAGAGCTCAAACACCAAAGAGAAGGCTCCCCAACAGCGGCAAGTACGTTGTGGCTGGAATTGCTTTAGCTGCTGAAATACGTGCAGCAGGGATGCTGTCGCGGGCCAGTCAAGGCCTGCGAATGGCTAATCGAAACTGAATCTCCGAAGATCCCCCAGAATATAGCTCGAGGTCTATGAGTCTATGCCTCAGCGACGATCGTCCCGATGGAGCCAAGCCCCACAAGACCAACCCGAAGTTTGTCCTCGCGGCTAATACCAACATCACGCACCGGAGCTCAGCTGATCTTGTTTCGCGCTTTATGGGCACTACTGGCACTACTGGAACCGTCTCCTGGCGGCGCCGCTTAGCTTCAGGCTCTAGAGCCTCTGGAGCCGCCGCTTGATTGCCTCGGTTGCCACACACCTCTGCTGCGGCTTCTGGTGCAAAGGGAAAGCCTTCAGAGGCAACTGCCCGCCATCCTGAAGGGAACCTGCAGCTGTCGGTGCTTCCAGCCTGTAGTGCCCACAGAACAATGCCATGAGACATCATGAGACGATACATGACTTCTTGCATCATGACCCCCGTACAGCGCCTGATGCCAGCCGAGATGGCTGCCAGCTGCCTCTGGAACTCACGAGAACAAAGCAGTCAAAGCAGTCAAACTCCAGCTGGCATTGCACTGCCAGCGCCTTTCTGAAGTCTTGCAACCAGCAAACATGCAGGGTGCATGGTGGGCAGTCTTGGACCGGTTCCGAGCCGAAGTGCAGCAATGTCCGGGCATGAGATGTAAGTCTGACGATCTGCGCCCCACGTCACTATTCACACCGCTGCATTCATTCATCCGTGTTCATCCCATCCCATCCCATCCCATCCATTCCTGTTCATGTATTCATTTCATTTCGTTCCATTCCATTCCATTCATTCATTCCGTTGGTTCGATGGTTCATTGGTTCATTCATTCATTTCATTCAGTTCATTCAGTTCATTCAGTTCATTCAATTCATTCAATTCATTCAGTTCATTCAATTCATTAAATTCATTAAATTCATTCAGTTCATTCAATTCATTCAATCCATTCAATTCACTTCATTCATTCAGGGGGAGGAGAGGGGAGAGGGGGAGAGCGTTACCAGATATTCTTCCTGCATCTTCAATCCGGGCTTAGTGAGCACGACACACCAGTCTTGGAACAGTAGTGTCGCCGGCACTGTCGGAACATAAGCTTGATCCAGCATGGAGTGCCAAAACTAAGGGCATAGAAGTGCAGAACGCGGATTCACGCTTCGGCACGCGCGATGCTCTTCACCTCATCAATCGCTGCTTTTTTTTGCTGCCGGTCTGCGACAAGCGTGTACTTAACCACGGAAACCACTCACCATCGGCGGAAACCTGCTCCATGGGCCTCATGACATAGGATGTTCCCTCTCAAATCACAGTCTTTCATTGGGGTTCCTGTTCTAGCCACGGCCTGTAGGCGACCTGTTGTGATAAGTGTTCCTATACCGGGGGAACATCCCAACTCGCAATCCCAAAGCAGCGCAAGCTGCAGGACTGACAAGATAGGTGAGGTGATGTCCGCGTTTGCATCAGAAGCCAATTGCTTTCAGCACGGGCTTCAGCCAGGATGGCACATATCCACCTTGGGAGGAAGTTAACAAGTCAATTCTCCTAACTTGAGAAGCCTAAGCGACTGAGAGCTCCATGTCTCGTAAAGGTCTCGCAAGTGCGCTGCCGCTGATCGCTCTTGGGACCAGGCCACCCACAATCAGGATGAATATCAGCACGAAAGCCAGAAAGAACACGCCAATTCCAAGAATTCTGAGCCTTGTCATGCCAAGAGAACTCTCCATCCAAAACAACACCATCAGCAACAACCGAGGCTTGTGCCAACCCTTGGTCGACCTGCCGGATGTGATGAAGTCTACAGATAGCTATGCAGACAGCATCAGCAACGCGCAAGCAAACGTGAGCTAGGCTCTTCAGCCGGAGGCCAAGGCTCTACACTCTTTTCAGGATGGAAATATCGAATAGATTCTGCGCAGGTAAAATAGCGTGAGGGCCGCAAGCGGCACAGGTCTGTTCTCGTACCACAGGACGTGAAGCACGATGAAGATTCTAAGGCCCCATCTATCAGGTTCACCGGGGGGGGGGGGGGGGAAAGATGTAGCAGGCAGCAGGCGCTGACGTCTAGTGGTGACGTCTAGTGGTCCCTCCTCACTGGACATAACCTCCAGCCTGCCACCCAGAAAAAATCCCAAAAATTCCAGGTTCTGTCGATACTGAGGTCCGCAAAGCCCCAGTCCCTGAGTGCCCAGCCCAGACCATCGCTCCCTGTGGCTTGCTTAGGGTTGAGGGTTGAGGGTTGAGGGTTGATGAGGTTGAGGGTTTAGGGTTTAGGGTTCAGGGTTCAGGGTTTAGGGTTTAGGGTTTAGGGTTTTTGCCACCCGCCTAGGGTTTAGGGTTTAGGGTTTAGGGTTTAGGGTTTAGGGTTTAGGGTTTAGACAAGGATTTAGGGTTGGGGTTTGGGAAGTAGGGCCTAGGGTTTAGTTTCTAGGGCTTTTTTTGCCACCCGCTGAATTGACCTCCCGGACACTCTGCAGGGAAGTAACTACGGCAAGTTTCTCATGCGACTGACAGTTCCCATTGAGTCCTGCTAGGACGGCCCAAACGGAGAGGCTCAGCCTCAACCTCTACAATACACTCCTTTAGGGCTTTTGGGCCCCTCTGCCTCAACGCAAGTGTGTGTTTGGGGTGGTCATGTCCAGGGCGGCAGGTGTTCTGGGTTCAGGGATACGCTACAAGCGTCAAGGAGGGGGCTGTAGACAACGCATCCTGAAGCACTGCAGCAAGGGTTCCGGCTATCTGCATGACAAAGGGAGAAAGAATCGAAGCTTTCCGAGACTTCTTGCCACCGTCCCCGACTGCCGCCTGGTCGACCTAAATCTGAACCTTCGCCTAAACCTCCAGGCCCGAGCCCCTACCTCAACCTTCAAACCTAACAAAGCTTAGGGATTTGAGCTTATAAGGATGCCGGTTCAGAGAAACAGCTGAAACCGAAGGAGGTTCATCTCAGGCACTCCCTCGCCCGCCGGTCGGCGTCATCTTCCACTTCCAATTCGAGCTGGGGAACCTGAGCAGCTGAGCGGGCTCAGGGTCTGAGATGCGGGGGGTTCTACGTTTCAGTCCCTGTCTTCGTTGCTTAGCGAGGGGGGGGGGGGGGGTGTGTAGGGGGTGTACTTATCTTGGGGTTGAGGATGTTCTGGATGGTTTTTGAAAGGTTCCAGCTTCAGGGCCTTCAGGGATGCTTGGACTTGGGATTAGCTACAGGATTTCGTGCAATTCGGGGTGCAAGCAGGCCCCCAAAAACCTAAATGACTGAGTGCAGGCCCAGCTGAGAGCTCCCCTCCAGGTCCTCCGGCAGACTCGACGCCCTCTTTGCCGGCCGCCCGACCTACGAGAACCTCGGGCTGACGTCGCTTCGCTCCCGCTGTGAATGGGGGGGGGCGGGGGAAAAAGGACAAAAAAAAAACGCGGAGGGGCGGGGGGGCCCGGAGGGCGGGGAGGGATGGAGGGGGGGGGGGGGCCGGAGGGGGGGGGGCCCGGAGGGGGGCCGAAGGTGGGGGGAGGGCTGCATGCTGAAACGTGCAACAGGAGTCTAGCATTAAGAAATTGCGCCTGAGGGGGAAGTTGCCGGAGAGCGAAGTCAAAGTTCAAGCGCATCGGCCGCATTGCTACGGCGACCCTGGATGTGAAAACATCTCGCCTGTCTCCGCTGCAACATATTCAAAAATCCTTCGGCGCTCATGCGCTTGGCCACGCACGTCATACTACCGAGTGCCCTACTAAGTTCAGCTTGTCAGCACGTCCCCCTGACGAAGATATGCGCCGAGCTGTCTTCTTGTCCTCGGACAGCGACGGAAGATGTTTTTCGAACTTGCACCTACATGTATGGCAAGGCTCCACAGCTGAGTGTTTTGCCTAAACACGCCACAGCAATTTAACACACCCAAATCTGCGACTCGGAAAGAACAAACCCATACAAATCCCATAACCCCTGGGAACGGAGCGCACGTGAGAGCCGCCCGGGCTCGCAGCGGCTGCCTGCAACTGTTGGCGTTGGCGGCGTTGGCATGATCTTCGAGACTTTCGGGGGCCCCAGTTGCTATTACTGAGGGTTGCTTTGTTTACGTGCTGGGTGGGGCTGCAGCCCTGCATTCCCAATGTTTTCGCCACTCGGCATTGGGACTGCACTTGTGCTTGAGTGCTTGAAACGCCTGGTATGCAGTACTTCCACTTGTTGAAAAGGAAGGCAAATCAATGCTCTCCAGCATCACTGCAAAGAGCCAACTACAACTTATAACCACCATTGCTTAACGACCCAGGCGCCAAGCGGCGGCGAGGGCAATTAAGCAATGCAGGATGTCTTGCATCTGCAATGCTTAGGGCCCAAAGCTAAGCGGCGCAGCGTATCGGCGGAGCCAAACTCGCAGCTGTGAAAACCCAGCTATGTAATCCCCGGCTCGTTTTTTACCCGGTGATCCGTCCAACTGTAGCTGTTTAGACCAGCCGTTTAACCCCTGGCTGATTTTCAACCCGTAAAGCTTTCATGGCTATGGATAAGGCTTGATCTTGTGGGTCTGGCTTGGGTTCGACCCATATCTTGGTGCAGCACGGCCTCTTCGCAATGACGCCTGCCGCCAAGAGTGTTGCGCCCGCAGCCAGCACAAAATCACCTCCACCTTCAGGCTTCTAGGGTTGAAGTTCAAGCGGGGCTTCCTTGTTTTTGGAGGGAGGGTTCTGCCCTCCCCTTGCAATCTGGAGTGGAACATGGCCCTTACCATATAGAGGCTCGCGCCTGCATCCGACAGCTAGGCTGAGTCCCTCGAATCTCAGCTTGAAAAGCCCCTCCAAGCGCACGAGCCCTGGCCCGAGGCTTGTTCAGTTCAGGTCGCGTGCGAGCCTCGCTCCGGAAACTGATGCATCGCATGCCCAGGCTTCGGCTCAAGCCTTCACGGAAAGCAGAATGGTCTCCAGGCAAGTTCGGGCTAAGGGCTTATGGAGTTTGGGGACCCAGTGCCAGAGCGTGGACTTCGAAAATCATCCCCAAACATGCCGGAAGCAGAACCTCTACATCCCACTGGGGGAGAAGTTGCAGTACCCTGCAGCTCAAGCACACAAACCTTCAATCCTAGGCTTTGCCTGGCAACCGGCACCTCGGGCGGCACTGCCACGAGGGTAAAGGCCTGGTCATTCAGGCGCATGCAGTGTGCCAGGCTCCGACAGGATTGCTCGGCTTGCACAGTAGATTGTTGACTTTGCATGGGTCACAGGGTGCTGGTGTGGTGCTTTCGACTCAGGGTAGCTCGGCGTCTGTACTACGTTTTAGGCAATGTTGATACACTTAAAGCAGTCAGAAGCCTGAGCCAGTGCCATGGACTCCAGGCGGTTGGAGAGAGCAGAGCTCTCGCAAACGGGGGATGCCCCCTCTGCTCACAAAACCCACAACTGTTCCTAGGCTTGAAGACGGCGGAAGGGGAACGGGTAAAAATGTGCTGCATGTGAAAGGTGGCCCTATCGAAGCATGCGCGCCCGGCTAGACAGCTTGACACACCCCTTCAGCCTGAACGACTGGTCAGACGTCTTCAACCGCTTTGGACTTGCACAGCAGCTTGTCGTAACAGAAAGCACTGCTGGATGCTGGCCGATATTGCCAACAAAGCTGACAAATCTTGGCCTGTGCTAACTTGATAGCCAGTGCTGATGAACTGCCCAGAAGACACCCACGTGCGACCAACTGCTCTATTGCGACTGGACCTGTTGGGTCATCAATATCATCTGTGCGGGCACCCATCTGGACATCTCAAGCGGCCGGCTAGCACTTGGAGTGTAGATGCGGCACTCAGGAGGCACGTTGTCATCCATGTGCTGCGAGAGCTATTAACAGATGCTTGTGCACCCTCACCTGCCCTTGTCACCGTTTGGATGCACCTTAGTATAGGACGTCGCCCCGCTGCAGCAGGTAAAAGGTCAAGCGAGTCTGAGCTCCCCACCAAAACTCAGCAAATCAGACCTAGCCCACACATGTTGCTGCCACCGAACTCCGACCCTGTGTGCTGAGCGGTCGCGGCACAAACGTAAGCTCGTGTCAACGTCTGCGGATTCGCGTTCCTCTCCTCCTCCGCGAGTCTGGCGGCCTGCCCGAGGCTGGAAAGCCCAGGCTTTAGCCGATCCACGCAGTCGAAACTGGCCACTAGTCCGAAGCACTCCTAGCACAACGCACTGGCTCTGCTCCCCGTGCACCCGTCAGCCTTCTCCTGTTCTGCTCTTTTCCTGAGCTCCTCTGCCTGGCGTCGCCTCATGGCTCGTTAAGGTGCTTCGTGCACTCTCTTTTAGAGCAGCCCGGAACATGAGGCCCGAGCTCCTCGGCGACAAGCCGCTCTTCAATCTGTGGCAAACGGGGCCAACAATGGCAGGGGCTTTCTTGCGGAGGCTCTGCTGCTCTGTGGTATGTTTCTGCCACACATCTTGCTGGGCTTGATGGCTTCATGGTTGAGGGCTCAGTGCATCACCTACTTGGGGCAGCTCTCTCCTGCCTCTCGCTGCTGCTCCTTACGGCGCCTCTCAGCGGCCTGACGCCGCTGCTCCGCCTGCACCCCACAAAGAGCCAAGGGCTTCGACTCTCACAACCAGCGCATGCACAGGCAAGGCTCCAGATGTGCATGGTGGAGACTATGGCACACTGGTCTCACTGACAACACTAGGTTCAACAATCTTTGACATCAAGCCCACCAGTCGAAGCATGTCGAAGCCACCAACACGCAGGAGCGAACTCAAGCAGACTTTCCTAACAGTATCCAACCACTATCACTGCAGCCCCTGCGTGTCAACTGTGGTCGACCCCGAAGCAGAAAGGCGTCTGTCGCCAAGCCCGGGGCATCTAAATCGGTTGAATTTGCCAGAGGGAAGTACTGAGCACAGGCCCATATTGAGCGAACACGCTCTCCCTAAAATCAAGTGCCACATGATGTCTGAGGCAGATGCAGGCTCACTATGAAAGGAATAATAAAAGTAGTCACTAGCAATGTCCAGCCCTGTGCAGAAACCTTCAATGCACTAGCTCAGCTGCACCAGTGGGAGGTGTGTGTGTGTGCAGAAATCATGCTACCAGCTGCCGCTGACGCGGCGCAAACTGTGGACTTTGCAAACTCCCATGGTGCAGCACTTGCAAGCACTCTGCTAGCACTCAGCTGCAAAGCTCAAAGTCATCATCCAATCCATAGCCTTAAGCCCTCAAGACTCGAGGCTGGAGAAGGACCGTCGCTTTAATTACTTGCTTCGCTTTGAAGCTTCGAGCCTCTAGCATTCGAAGCTGTGGCTCACTGCATCGCTGACTGCATCCGAGCGTCCGGCACAGGCTGTGGCCAATGAGCGATCTGGATGACGGGGCCACGCAGGCGCGGCGGGGACTGACAACTCCACACGGTCGACAGTGGCAAGGCTGCCCCATTCCCGGGCGCGTAAGCAATCTGGTTTGGGAGGGGGCGTGTCTGTGTCAACACTTGTGCATTTTGCACTGGGGCGGCTGGACGAGCAGCAGCCGGTGCGTGGAAGACACGAGGACGCAGCGGACTGCCCTGTTGGTACCTGTTCAGGTGTGGCGGCGATAGGCAGAATGCTGCATGGACCTTGGCCCCTGTCCGAGCATTTCCTGGCATTGGCATCGGCGGCACGGGCACCGGCATCGGTGCATTGACGCCGACTGGATGCGATCCAACTTGCGGCTTCTCCATGCGAGGAGTCAGCAGCTCGAGGGCTTTGTCAGTGTCCCTGGGACCCGCAATGCCCGTGGCCAAGCCGCGCAAGTTGAAGCGACTTGCCGGGGCAGAGGTTGTGAGCAAGTCTCCGGTCTCTGCAAAGGGTGAACGCGGCAGTGCCTGGCCAAGCGGCACCTTCACGGATGAAGAACCTCCTGACTGAGGCTCTGAGTCGCCTTCTTCAGGCACTCCAAAGAGCTGTGCCTGGCCCTTGCTCACAGAGGTCTGCTGCTCAATTTGGTTCGGATGCCCTTCGCCCAGCTGACTCCAGGGCATGTTCTCCAGCCAGCGCTTGAGCTCCCACCGAGGCATTTGCGAGGCGATCGTCTTGCGGTGCGGCTTCATGTCGTAGCCCCGCGAAGGTGATTCGAGCTTCGAGGTCTGGCTGCCGGCAGACTTCTCGGAGAGGTGGTCCTTGGGCGAGGTCCACTTGTTCTCCACCTTTAGCTGCAAGCTCTGCAGGCGCATCTTGTGCTCAGGCGACACTTCCGGGTCTCGGCTATTCTCTTTCTCCTCGGGATCTTGCCGCGTGCGCTCCGGAGTCACTTCGGGAGACACTGGGGGTGTGTAAGCCATCGTCGGCTTCGAGGATCGTGGCTTTGAGGGTGTCGGCATCACGTCCATCACATCCTGGGTGGACCCATTGGACCCCTCAACACCACAAGCTTTGTCATCCTTCTGGGGCGACCTCGCATCCTTGCGTCGAGATGGCAATGGGCTTGTCAAGACAGAATTTCCCTCACTCGATTCCTGCTCAGCAGCCATTCTTGCTCGCACATCCTTCTGTCCAAGTCTCAACCATTCATGGTCCAAGGCTTGCTCGATGGAGACACGCTCTGCAGGATCTTTGGCAAGCATTTTCCGCAGGAGGTCCCAAGCCACAGCGCTCACATGGCTCGGCTTGCTTTCCTTCGAGGGAGGGCAGATCTGGTGGATCTCCTCGAGCAGCCACTGCTGGCGAAGTGCTGTTGCTTGATGCGGGTCTCGCTCTGAGAGCTTCGTGATGCCTGGTTCGACGTTTGTTTGAAGCAAAGTCTTCCCTGTCATCATCTGGTAAAGAGTCGCCCCGGCACTCCACAAGTCGGCTTGCACTGTCTGCGGCGCATTGGAGAGCACTTCCGGCGCCATGTAAAGCAGCGTGCCTGCAAGGCTGGTTGGGCTGTCCCGCTGCAAGCAACACCAACCAAAGTCTGCGATGCGCAGCCTACCATCAGCTGTGCACAAAAGATTGTCCGGCTTGATGTCCCTGTGGATATACCCAAGCTGGTGCACGGCCTGCAGTCCCAGCATGAGCTGCCGGGCAAGAACCTTCAACTCCCTTTCCGAGAGCCTCCCCTGCTTTTGAAGCAGGTCTCCTTGTTCGCAAAACTCCAAGAGCAGGTAAACATAGTCACCCTCCTCTTTGACGTCCAGAAGTCGCAAGACGAAGGTCTCCGCATCCTGCATGTCTCTGGAAAGTGTGGCTGCATGACGCATTGCTTCGATCTCCGAATCAACCTGGCACTCGATGCCTCGATTCTTGAAGTTCGGCCGGTTCATCATCTTCACCGCGAAACCTCTGTGGCTAAGACGGTGGCGAACGAGAAAGACCTCAGCAAAAGCGCCGCCGCCCAGCTTTTCACAGCCGGGCCAAAGCTCGTAATCGGCCCGCCATGCGGATGGCAATGGCTGCGGAAAGTTCCTCGGCTCCATCTGTGCAGGATGCCGCCGCAACTCCTGCAACGGCTGTCGACGCACAAGGACCTTCCGCTCGTGCTCACGAAGAAGGGCTGCAGGGCGCTGGTGCACCTCCGGACCCGCCGAGGCTCTCCTGTTTCGCATTGTCGAGACGCCAGCTTGCGATGCTTGCGGCAGGAGTGGAAGATACAGCTGCTGATGTTCCAGCAATGCATGCTGCATGACCGGCTGCGGGTATGGGCCGCGCGCTGCCACATACTGTCGCTGAGGCTGCCCAGGGTGCCCAGGCTGCCCAGGTTGCCCAGCACCAAGGCGTAAGGTTGCCATAACGAGATGCTAGCGTCTCGAGCGTTGACGCGCCCACGTTTCTTGAGCCAAGAGGGCTTCGGTTTATAAGGTCAATCGGAGTCAAACGGCTTCTGCCGCAAGAATGCGCCACAACCAGCTGACTGCATGTGAAGCAAGGAACCGCGAAGCAGCCGCGTTGCAGGCGAGCGGCTCGACGGATTTCCTCCTGCTGCCAGCGCTCTTCCGCCTGTTACGCCCTTTTCACTCTATCTCTCTCTACACAGCCGCAAGCAGCAGAAGTAGAAGTAGTAGAACCAGAAGTAGTAGAGCAGCAATCATCAAAGTCACCATAGTCATCGCAGCAGCAGCAGCAGCAGCATCACCACCACCACCAGTACCACCACCAGTACCAGCACCAGCATCAGCACCAGCACCAGCACCACCACCACCACCAAATGACATGCACGAAAGCGAACCTTGCAGCTTCACAACCCTGGTTGTGAGAAAGAGGTTTGCCGGTGCATCGCGGCACAAAACAACAAACAGTATGCGTGGGTTTCCCGTGGTCCCACCAAGCCCAACATGTACTTATGACCCTAAATCAGTAGACCCACAAGTCCAACACTCAGAAACCCCCTTCTTAACTGCTGGCTGTGTCCAGAAGATGCCCAAACCCTAAGCCCACAAACTCTTTCTCGACCTGTTTAGCCATGGACTGTGGGCAGTGAAGGCCTACGGCGACCGCTGAAACTTTGAACGCCTAACTAAGCTTGGGATGTTCGCCCTTATACTACAGTCCGTAATAGGCTTTATAGTAGGGGTACTGTAATCCCGATTAAGGACTGTTAGTTCAGCATAAGGGGGAACAGTCTAAGCCTCAACCCACCAAGCCGCAAAACGGGGCATCGGTGGCCTGCCGTCTCTGCTCCAACAAGCGCTGGACCTCTTCCGCCTGCTTGTACTTGGAGGTTCATGGTACTTATTAACCCACTTATAACTGTACTTATAACCGCTTATAACCCAATTATAACCATATTTGGGCACTAAAGGGACTAATAAGTGGTTATAAGTACAGTTAGAACCGGGTAAGTAGATTGGGTATTGGGGCTTCGACACTCGCACTCGGACAAGGCAAGCAAGCCATACAACTGACCTCCAATCATGAAGTGATTTGGTGTTGCACTTGGAGAACTGATAAAACCCAGAGTATGACTTCATAACAAATGGTTTGATTCCAAACACCCTCTCCTTTATGGAAGCACTCCCCCCCCCCTCCCCAACCCCACTCCCCCCCCTCCCCCCGCCCCCCCCCCCCACCCCCTCCCCCCCCCTCCCCCCCCTCCTCCCCCCCCCTCCCCCCCCCCCCCCTCCCCCCCCCCTCCCCCCCCTCCCCCCCCCCCCCCCCCCCTCCCCCCCCCCTCCCCCCTCCCCTCCCCCCCCCTCCCCCCCCCCTCCCCCCTCCCCCCCCCCTCCCCCTCCCCCCCCGGCGCTGAAAAACCTAGATGGTTAACAAAGCTGGAAGGTCATCTCTACTTCTCAAATTAAACTAAAATATTAAAAAGGCGGCCGAAGGAAATGAAAGAGAATGAAGGGCAGCTATTGGGACAATTGACAACCTATGGGCCTACTGAGCTCCGGTGTTCTTTTGCCCATTATGGGGTTTAAGGCCATTGCTTTCTGGTTTAACATCAACGTACGTGGTTTCTAATAAGACGGCCGGTTCACAGCATGAGCAGTTTAGCAATACAAATCACATCAAGTTAAAAGCGAACTCGCGAAGTGGTTCGCAGTTTCAGACTAGGGGAGGTGAACCAACATAAAAGTGTGTTAAGAGAAACAGTTCTATTTTAAATTTATGCAAACAAAAACTGTTCTAGTCACGGGTTATTTGTTGTGATCAACCACACTGGTTACGAGAAATAGCCCCAAAGTACCATAAATGCATAGCACCTCATGATGATAATAAGTTGGAGCGAATATGACTCACCTTTCGAGACATGAGTTTTTGATATGGCACCCCTAGTAATCTATAGTTGTGTCCGCCATTACCGAGAGGAGCGACATGCAAAGTTGATTTTATGCATAACAACATACTGCTTTCAGATTAGTTCGGAGCCATGCACAAAGCGCATGTTCAGTGGTTTGAAGCCGAAATACGGCGGGTCAATGGAGGGAAGCAGAGAAGCAAGTAGTCTTCTGCGGTTGGATCGCCTCGGCCTGTCGCCGCTTCTCCTCAATCTGCTGCTGCTCTTGCCACCACCGTTCCTTTACGAGCTGTCAAGGCTGGCTTCGGAGGGAGGTTTTCGCAGTAGGGCCCCCCCCTCTGCTGTAAGGGTTCTTAGGGTTTAGGGTTTCGACTCTCGGTTCCAAAGCCCGGCACGGTCCTCGGCCAAGCGACGCTGCTCCGCTTGCCTCAGAGTGGCCCCAGCTTAGTACAACATGGAATACTACGTAGTAGATATGAAATCGTGGATGATACCGAAAAACAGATACTGTACACTGGACAAATTATGCAGCTTGGGTTCGGCCGGTCCACACTAACAGTCACCACCAGCAGACCCACAAATAAAAGCACCCGGTAAATGCCAAAAAATTGACTGAGATTCCTGCTATTCCTGGTGCTATTCCTGGTGCTATTTCTGGTGCATTTTTTTGTGCTATTCCTGGTGCTATTTCTGGTGCTGTTTTTTGTGCTATTGTTTGTGCTATTTCTGGTGCTATTTTTTGTGCGATTGTTTGTGCTATTTCTGGTGCTATTTCTGGTGCTGTTGCTGGTGCTATGTGACTAACAATCACCATCAGCAGACCCACAAAAAACAGCACCCGGTAAATGCTAAGCTGCTAAAATTGACTGGGATTCCTAGTGCTATTTCTGGTGCTATTGTTTGTGCTATTTCTGGTGCTATTTTTTGTGCTATTCCTGGCGCTATTTCTGGTGCTATTTTTTGTGCTATTGTTTGTGCTATTTCTGGTGCTATTTCTGGTGCTATTTCTGCTGCTATGTGACTAACAGTCACCACCAGCAGACCCACAAAAAGAAGCACCCGGTAAATGCTAAAATTGACTGGGATTCCTGGTGCTATTTTTGGCCTGTGTGTTATAAGGCCACGGCGTTATTTGACTGTTAGTGTGGACCGGCCGAACCCAATATGCAGCACATCATATAGAATTAACGTGCAATATAGCATTTTATCGCACCGTATAGCATATTATAGTGACTTGTAGAAAGTGGTCGTCCATAACGTATACTATGGCCGGTTGCCTGTTCTGTCGTCTAGTATATTTTAGAGAACATGGTACTCTCGTCTACTATAAACTATAGCCTATCATAGAACCTTATGAAGTGCGGATGCTTATCAAAGACTTCTGAACTGTATGAGAAGAACTTTAGTTTCGAATAACGCTCTTCAGGAGCGCGCATCTCAGCTGCGAGGCCCCGCGGCCGGAGCATCTGATGCACAGCCCTTCAAGCCCAAGTCAGCCTCACATCTGCGAAGAATACAAAACTCAAGACAGTCCTTTCATCCCAGAAAATCCAAGCCCGGAAGATCCGACATTAAGCCAAGATTGCTGCAAAAATTGTGATAAACCCCTGGCGTCCAAAGAAGGCAAGCGGCCATCGCTCAGCCTCCATGCGACGCTGATGTTCAGCCTCAAAAGCATTCAAGCTCTAATGAACCCAGCTGGCGAGTTAAGGGCAGCAACATTGACAGAAAAACAAGCCCATGATGGACATACAGCGTGCCGTTTGTAAGGACAGGCGTTTGCCTGCGAAAAGATAGGGCACGGTCCCACGCACGGTCTTGCTGCTGCTTGTGCCTTAGCAGCCGTAACTTTAGCGTTGCAACTGCATGATGACTAAACTAGGCTGGACCGCGATTTGCTGGCTTGTGCCAAGCCTCCACTAACGAAGCTTGAGCAGCTGCTGTGTCAACTGCTGCGGTGCAAGGTCCCCGGCTGCTGCTCTGCCTGCC